CAATTCGTAGCTCCTTAAATAGGAGATTACAGAAGAGAATTCCTTGTTGGATTCGGCTAGGCTAGGGTAATCCAACTTAAACTAAAACTCCTAATGGTAACACAATTCCTACTTAAGAAGATAAGATAAGAATAAGGGATAGGATAAGATAAGGGATAGGGATAAGATAAGGATAAGGTAAGTTGGCGGCGAGTTGGCTTGACGTGTCTAGATAATGGTGGGCCCACCCCTATGAGCTGTCGTGTGGGCCCCGCTCTGCTACTACTGCCGGGTGCGTGCGTGCGGCTCATGGTGCCGCTACCGTGCGGTGCCGGGCATGTGCGCGGTGCGTGCTGTCGTGCAGTGCGCGCTGCTGCCTGGCGGTGCATGTTGCACGCCATGATGCCGGGTGGGTGTGCGGTGCATGCCGCCGTGCGGTGCGCGCTATCGGTGCCTGCTGCTGTGCGGCCTGCCGTGCGTGCTGCTGCTTATGACTGCTCCGCAGTGCGCTGCCGGATGGTGTGCCCATAACAGTAAACATGTTATAGATTCTATGCCTACGCCTATTATACTGGTTAGTTTCCGCACGACCATAATTCACTTGGTAGTTGCTTCTTTCGATTACAGACAGATACAGTTCATTCCCAAATACCAGACTAGAGTATCGTCCATTCTGTTGGTTAGTCTTCTTCGTCTGTTCTCTTTATATGAGAGTTGGCCCAATTGTGTCCCAGGGGCCAGGGTGAGATTCTTTTGGCTGTGTTTGGTTGCAGTGCAAAACTATGGTAGTGCAAATGTTTTGGGCATAAGTTTTGATTTATTTTTGTTTCAAATTTTACCTTATTTTGTTTGATTGCAATAAAAATCCCAGCTTGGTCTGGTGTTTTTCCAAAAAAAAAAAAAAAAAAAAAAGTAAAATCCAAAACAAAATTAAACTATTTTTTTTTATTTGTACTCTCATACATTTGTACTAGTGCAAAGAAAATTACACTGCAATAAAATACAGCCTTTGGGCTGGAATCCGCTTACGATGAACACAACTCTGAAATTCTGACCCCTGAGAATTCTCGGTACTGAAGACAAAATCCCAACATCATTTTGGTTATTTAGTTTGTTTCTTTGTTTGAATCTGATCCAAATATATTAGAACTACTTTTTAGAAACTATTTGCTTTGGCGTTAATAAGCTCCAAACTCATCGCAGCTTCTTTCTCCTTATAATAAGACTTGCTAGAAGCCTAGAAGGGCGCTTCATGTATATATGGAACCTTAAATATATTTTATTAGAGAGTAATTAAATTCAAATTATATTTTATATTTTATTCTTATAATTAAAAAAAAATTAAATTAAAAAATTAGGATATTTTAATCAAATAAAAGTTTTACACTCTTATTCACACTTTTACTACAAGTCAACACATATCCGGCCCCTAGTAGCCAATGTGCCTTTGTATATCTTTTTTGTCTGTTTGGGTAATGCATGAAGGTTACTATAAAATATAAATTACCAAAAAAGAAAAGCAAATGAGAGAGACGCACAAACCAAACACCGAGGTTATCTTTCAAACCAAACACAGCATTAGGGATATATGGATCTGGGGTTTTTGTACAATGGATGATAAAGAGGTGCCTCAGGTCAAAAACAAGGTTTTGGAAGGAAAAGGAGGCAGAAGTTTAGGATTACCGTGAAACAAACGAAGCTAGGGAAGGATAGTCATTTGTCCTGTGTAGGATTACAAAGAAATGACCTTTAAATTTTAACAGAATCCAAACACCACCAACAAAATACGACAAAAAAAAAAGTCTTATTGATAAAGCTACAAATGGTCAGAATGCACATTTCCAATATCAAAAACTTGGACCCCATGTGCTGACCCACATGGCCACAACTACCTTTTAATTGTAAGCTGAAGAGCAAGATTACATAAAAATTATACATTCACAGAACTGGGCATCTATCTAATATTAAGATGCTGCCTAGCTACAGGGAATTTACACATGATAACTCAAAAACCTCTACTTCTGGAGGTATCTTGTCTCCAATCCGTACTGTTCTGTGCAGCTCCAAAGCTGGGTGGTGCCCCATAAAACTGGCCTTCAACCAGCTGCCCAGCAAAATGCAAGGGTTGTACCGTGCCAGTGCCTTGGACAGAAAGGCCCTGGGATCCAACCCACCACACCCCTTGCTGCCGCATGGGAGCAGGAGATTGCTGGGCTTGGCCTTGCATCATGTTCATCGGGGGCTGTAGAGGCTGCGTAGGCATTTGTGGTGCCACAAGCAGTCCCATAGGCCGAGAGGGCTGAACGGAAGCCTGCTTAGATTGCATCAACACTTGGTTTACCATATGTGGAGGCATCAGTGGCTGCTGGAAGTTGTTCACTGGTTGTGCCACTGGGGAAGGCAGCTGCTGCTGTTGTAGGGATTGTGGCTGCCATTCAGGGATGTCGTCATCATCATTCCAAGGCTGAACCTCAATCCCTGAATGACTGTCCACCCAATTGCCAGAGTTGGCACCTAGTGCGGTCTGGCCATAATTGTGTACCAGTTCTCTCATTTGCTCAACTGGACGAGGTACAGGTTGAGAGGGGGCAAGGAAGGCGGCCATGCCAGAGCCACGTGAAAGTTTGGGAACCGAAGAGGCTGTTACGTTTGTGCCTCTAACGAAATCAAATTCTGGGAGGTCATCCTCGTCCCTGGGAGCTGCCGGGCCAAAGCCGGGCGGTACATCGTCAATGGGTTCATCATCAGGTGGAGGCTCAGGATCAGTGGGAGGTGGTCCCAAAGGTAATGGAGGTGTTGAAGTTGCATTGGTATTGCCATTTGCATTAGCATCCTTATCTTGTCTCCTTAAAGCGTATTGCTGCTTTTTTGAACTGTGTTTGTGATGGGAAGATGAATTGGGTGATATAGAAGAAGTTAAATGAGCCTTCTTCCATACTACCACCCCAATTAGGCTATTATCTGTACTACAAAGTGCCTCTGCTTGGTCCTTCGGCAAGAGATTGCCAAGAATTTCAACCATTCTTGTGTGAGGTGGGCAGAAGTATAGTTCAACACCAGGTAGCTCGGCAAACCCCACTCTTTCGTCCATAACATACGAATCAACCACCTGTAAAAAGCAGACAAATAAACAAAGATTTAGGATTAGATCAAAGATAAAACTTAGCAGCAGGGCAGAAAGAAAAAATATATATATATATATATGATTAGTCATCACCTCAGAAAGATTTGCACGCCCACTCTGAGAGGAACCCTCCTTCCAACAAAATTGGACGATCTGCAGAGGATGGAAACTTCATGAATAATGGCCATGATGGAAACAGATTCATCCTTCAAAAGTACACAAAAAATATCACAAAATGCAGACTTCTGGAACACCCCCTGGCCCACACACACAAGCGTTTCCTTAGCTCCCTTGACATTTCTGGAACACCCCGAGTCCCCCCAAGAGTCCTAATGTTCCCAATCTATATGGACATAATAGTATTACATGCCAGTTCTGAAAAAGTGAAAATCATATCCCCGTTTCTACAGGCCAAACACCTAAACCATTTACTATAAAAATTATGTGCGCCCCCATAAACTAAGAATCACCACCCATTTATATGATTGAGTTTTGCTTGTAGGATATAGGCATATGTTCCTCTATATCCGCATCTAAAATCCACCACAGAGATACGGGAATGAATTTTTTGCAGGAAATCGCTGGCAACAGCTTTCTGAAATTGTAATATTTTGTTCTTTTAAGGTTTATAGTTCTATACACAAAGGGCCAACGATGCTTCAATATTTTTTTTAGCTTTCGACCAAGATAAAATACTGAGAAATTTAACAAAGGAAACAATTAACTGACATGATATACAAAATTAATCAAAATAATGAAAAGTGAGGACTATGAGATACCATAATTGCACGACTCCGGGACATATGGAGACCTTGGAGGAATTTCTCAAATGCATTGAGTCTGACCCTCCCCTTGATCTCAAGAAAGTTAGGCCACTCCTTTGTAGATGTTTTTTCACCACTGTAACAAAATCAGATCAGAAAGTACCAATTAAATGGTTTTTTTCACAGATAAAACCATAATCTAGAGTAGAAAACAAGCAAGACAAGCAAAAAATTTAAACAAAGATAAGACTTGCACCTTTTAAAGAAGCCAATAACTGTGACCAAGGTTGAGATATTCAACTGAAGTGTACCTTCCCAGATATGCTCGCCCTTAGATGCAGAACCAGGAGGGGAGGCTCCCATGTCTATTAGAATGTCATTGGATTTCACATTACTATCTGTTCTTTTGTATTTTGCATCCATTTTCTCCAATTTACTTGGGGTAGTATCTACAGGATCTACTGAACCAAGATCTGAAGAATCCAATTTGGTGCCAACATCAGGACACCTCTTCTCACCTGAGATAGTTGCATCCTGTCCAGAAGCTACTGGTAAATTTTCAGATGGTGGTTCTGAATCAAGAGATTCCATGAATTCATCTAGGGAGACTATTGGGGGAAGAAACTCTGAATCCCTCAATTCATCCACCATGAACCCTTGCATATAATCAGTTCCATCGTGCTGAATAGCACTTGTGTTACTTGGTGGAGTTTTGTCTTCTAAGATATTCTTCTCAGGCTTAACAGCCATTTCAGATGTTTCAGTAGCACTAGGTTTAGATGGAAGCTGAGCATTCATTTCAATGGTTTTGGGTTGAATTTGAGAAAGTGAACTTGCCCCAACAGCAACCTCAACTGAAACACTATCATCTTGTTCAAATTCCACTTGAAACTCACCTTTATGTGTTTTCCTCACCAATCGTCTAATGTCGACTTCTGTATCTGGCAAAACTACCATCTGTGCAAGCTCTTCTGCTTTGGCAAGTCTCCACTGAGATAGCTCTTTTGAAGCAAGTTCCTCTGCAGTCATAGAACAGAGACGTTCTGGGGTAATTTCTCCAGACATCACTTTTTCTCTCAGCTCTGGATTATTACGATCTTTCAAATTGAATAAAAGAGACCTGCCCTTCTCCTTGTACTTCTTATTAACACCTCCAAATAATTTGAAGAGCTCAGCTTCAATTTTGAAGGCCAATGTTTGTAGAGTTTCACATGCTTGTTCTACCCCATCTCTACATGCTTCCTCATGTTCTAATTTGGGTCTTTTGGCAGGATGGCATTCATCTGTTTCAGCAACTTCTACTTTTAGGTCTGTTGCCCAGCAAAGCCCATTTCCCTGTAAAAGCTCGTCTTTGATGAGAAAACTGTTGATGAATGAAGCATCTTCTTCAGGAAAGACCTGCTTCAATTGGAATTCTTGTCCATCAACCTTCCAGGTCTTTGATGCATTTTCATTAGACAAAACTTCTTGAGCAGAAGTTTGACCATCATTGGGTTCATGAGCAGAACTGAGATCTTGTAGAGGAAGGGTCTCCAAATGCCTTTCAGGTACATGACCTGATGCCATATCCACAGTTGCTGAAACAGACTCAGCTGGCTGAGAATCTTCATGGACCTGCCTTGGAACATCTGCAGCTTCATTCTGTGAAGTCTTTCCCTCATCTGACAGTTTATTCTGCTGCTGAGAAACCAAGGCCAAGGCAGTGGTTAATGATTCTCTCAACTTTGACCTGACTGATTCAAATGACTCAGTTTGGGCCTTTGGAGATGGTTCCATCTGAGCTGTTCGCTTGTTTGGTAATGACAAATGTTGTGACCCTGCTTTAGTGGGCAGAGTCTCTATTCGTACAGTTTGCTTTGATATTGAGAATTGGCGTGTCATCAGGTTGCTGGGCATGGGCTCCATTTGTGCTGGCTGCTTGTTAGCTAATAAATGTGGTGAGCCCAGGTAAGTGGACCTTGGTTCCATTTGAGCTGTTTGCTTGCCAGGTGTTGGTAACTGTTGTGGTGCCACATTGCTGGGTATGGGTTCCACATTGCTGTAGCCCTGGACTATTGGACATGATCAAAACACCTACCAGCAACACAATGTATGTACATATGAATATCAAGTTCACTTAGTACAGTTGCAAAGATAATAGGTAAGAAGTGTCCCCAGCTCACACCAACAATACCATGAAGGCCCGTATGAAGAAGGATTAAGATGTTTCTGAACAGGTTCTTCCAAGACCTACATTGCAGAAAGATCAATGCAGAAAATAGGTTAGCCTCCTGAAACACAAAGGTAACTAGAAAACACAACTTCACCTCCAAAATCAAGTTTTCAGAACAGAGATTAAACTGGTACAATGGTTAAGCAGTAGGCACATTACATGGCATTTATAGGGAAGTTAAAGGAAGAAAGATTTACAAGAAACCAATTAAAAAAACATCATTCTCTAAAAAAAATATCTTCTTGGACAGTACTTACCAAATATGTAAAAATTTTAATCCAAACCATCCATCACATGGGGACATTGTGGAGTGGTGGCTTGCACTTTTCTCCAGTCCACACCAGCCTCATATCTCACCACCTTGTTTCAGAATTCCCCCAAGTAACATTATCCATCAAATGTAATGATTTTTTCATTTACAAAAGGTCCATTAAGAAGTGCTTAGTCTTCATATACACAGCTATGATTTTTAGACTGAAATTTGCGACGTTAAATTGAGGAAGGAGAGAGTAATTCCCATGAAAAGATTTCGGGTCATTTAAACTTTTCTATACCATATGACACAAGGGTGAAATGTCCTAATGGGATGAAGCGCCTCTGATGTAGGACAAGTAGGGTATCCTGCAACTTTCAGATCTGGTAGTGGGCCTTGTAGAGTGAAAGAAGATTGGGTGATCAATTATGAAGAATAGAAATGAAAAGATAAACAGCATGCTGTCCACCAAAGAAGAGGAGATTAGAAAAAAGAGAAGCTTTACCGTTGTGAGCAAAAAGATAGATCACTTAGAAGAAGAAACAAGTGTAAAAGAGGAAAAATGGAAAAATACTAAGCTACAACCAGAATTCACTAAACCAAACTTTCATTCATCACTCATCAGACATACTCTTCTAAATTTCAACTACCACCACTCTTTATAGACTCGGCATAGGGCTCAGATCTTCCTTTAAAGCTCCAAACTCAACTAGAGAACAAACCCATAAGCAACCCATGGGGTCATTTAAACTTCTTCCAATCCTGAACCTCTTGCTTCACTTAAGCTACAAGCATCTTGGTCCAGTTCTTCTTTCTTGGACATCCATCTTATTCTTCCAGTTTCCTCTTGCTATGATTACAGTTTTCCTTATATCTTTCTCTTTTTTTTTTTGATAATTGAAAGAATTTTATTAATCTCAAAGGATAAAAAAGTACAGCTTTCCTATTCACTAGAACAAGTTACAAGGTAGCACAAAAAAAAGATCTTCCCTAGAAACCCCAAGTTTGGCCAAAGAATCAGCCATAGTATTTTCTGACCTGTTCACCCATTTAACATCAACTCTCATATTATTGGTTAGCCACTTCCCCCTTTTGAGGAGGTCTCTGCATTCCCAAATGGCAGCATCAGTGTTAGACAGCCAGCCTATTACCACTTAAGAATCCCCTTCTATCAGCAGATGTTCCACCCCAAGCTGGTTGACAATCTGAATCCCTTGTACAGCAGCTAGTACTTCTGCCCTTGTAGAATCTCCCACTGGTCCTTAGAAGAAATAAATAATGTTGCTGCCCTTGTTCCTCATCACACCCCCTATACCTGAGGCCCAGGGTTACCTTGGTTGCTCCTATCAAAGTTTAATTTGACATCTTCTGGAGGAGGTTGCCATTCTATCACACTTCTATTCTTCTTAGTGGAGGTTAGCCACTGCTGACCAGTTCCTCTAAAGGTAATCAAATAAGAAATCAGCAAACATACCCAAGGTCTTCAGCCAATGGATTGCTCTTGTCAAAATACAGTCCTTCACTTCAGCCAAGCTTCTTTCCTTCTCTAGGTATACTCTAGCATTCCTTTCCTCCCAAATAGTCAATGAAGTAGCTGCCTTGAGACATTTCCACATGGCTTTACCTCTTCTCGTACGCCACCCAAAAAATAGATGGATTAAATAGCAAACTTACATCAGATGGCTGAATCCACATAAAACCGAATAAACTAAAGCTCCAGCTCCATAAAGCTGCAGCAAGGGAACAAGATATCAATAAATGGAAACAGTCCTCATTATGGACCTTACACAAGAAACACCAGTTCGGAGAGAGACAAAGAAGAGGTCTCTTTTTTTGCATGTTTTCCAAAGTACTGATTTTCCCATAGTAAACTTCCCAACAGAGTACAGCAATTTTGGGGGAATAGGGCTTACCCAAACTTCTTTAACAGGAAAAACTCAAGGGTTGGGGCTAGAACTTAGGGATTTTAGAAAAGAAGCACAGGTAAAGATACCTTTAGGCAGGGGAGTCCAAACTCTGTGATCAAGTCTTGTAGGGTCCAAATAAACTGACTCAAGTAAATAAAGCAACTCAATAACACAAGTTAACTCATCATCCCTTAATCCCCTACAAAAGCTAAAGTTCCAATTTAAAGACAAGGGAAGAAACGGATCCAGAAGACACTTTGAAATTGGCTCATTTTTGTAAAGGGAAAGGGAGTATAAGGAAGGAAAACGATATTTGAGGGGTTGATTACCCACCCAAACATACTACCAAAACCGAAAAGAATTACCAGAGCAAGCATCAGACTTGATAAACCTAAGGAAGGAAAGGAGGATATCATGTATAGCCTTCCAAGGTGTTGTGAGGGTAACCCAACAAGATATCCCAGCACCCCAACCATCTCTCTCTCTTGAATCCATCTTCATAACCACTTCCCTAGGAGGGTTTCATTCTTTTGCACTAAGTTCCCTATCCCCAAGCCCCCTTCTTCCTTAGATTTAGTGACTATCTCCCATCTAAGTAGATGATCCTTCTTCACATCTCCTGGTTCCCACAAGAAATCCCTCATTACCTTCTCCAAATTCTTAGCCTCCCTTGTGGGAATCCTAAGGACTGAAAGGTAATAAGTTGGAAGGTTGGCGAGTGTGGCCCTAATCAGTCACCCTACCCCCTATAGAGATATAACTCTTTTTCCAGGCTGCCAAGTATTTAGCAAATTTCTCCATAATATGGGACCAAAAACTACTCTCTTTAGAGTTTGCACCTAAGGGGAGACCTAAGTAAGTCAAAGGCCAAGAGGAGATGGCACAACCTAAGCACCCTGCAATAGACTCTACCTCCAAATCCTCCAAGTTTCTACCAGCCACACAACTTTTATCCAAATTTATCCTCAAGTTGGAAGCATGTTCAAAATCTCTTATTAAGCTCTTGAGGTTGTCCACCTTACTTAAATCATTCCCTTCACAGAAGATAACAATATCATCAGCGAACTAAAGGTGGGCTACCAGTATGCCTCTTCTCCCTAATCTCCATCCCTTTATTAGGTCCTCAACTGCTTTGGAAATCAATCTATTGAACACATCAGCAACAAGTGTAAAGAGGAAAGGAGAGAGTGAGTCACCTTGCCTTAGGCCTCTATTGGCTGGAAAGAAGTCCTTCACCACACCATTAACTAAGACTAAGTAGTGGCAAGAATTTAGACAGCCACTTATCCAGTTACACCATTTGTTCTCAAAGCCACGCCTTCATAACACCTCTAATAAGAAACTCCAATCCACTAAGTCATAAGCCTTTTCCGAATCTAGTTTGCTAACAAAACCTTTTTTTGCTAGATCTCCTCTTCTCCTCCACACTCCCATTTGCAATCAAGATCTGATCTGTAATTTGCCTATCTTGTACAAAATCTCCTTTTCCTTACATCTTTCCCTTTTGTAGCTTCATTTTCCTCTTTTGACATCTCCCCTCTTTGACTGTTATGCAAGCTTTCACAAGGTGCTTAGAGAATCCCTTTAAAATTTAAGAGATTAAAACCTACCCTTCTCCTTCTCTTCCTTCAAGGAAAGAAACCAATTGCTTTCTTCCTTGCCTGAAAAATTCAAGCAATGCAATGAAATTACCTCTACCATTCCTCCTCCAATCCTTCTCTCTACTTTGTATGTTCTTCCTTACCTCCTTGAAACTCTTCCAATCCAAACTTTTATCCTTGTGCAAGGTGTCATCAACAAAGTTCTGGTATCAAGCAACAAACTCAAAACCTACCAAAAAAACCCACAACTTCTTTAACTCCCAAATCTCAAAGATACCTCCCCACCTACTTTGACCTCTTCAAATAAGAGAATTTTTTGCTTCAAAATTCACTAACCTCCTCATGGATGAAAATTCTCTTTCTCCATTGATGATATCCTTACTGGTTTCATCCTTCACACTTCACTACATCAGATTTACAAGATACAGGATTGCAAACTAGATTTTCTATTCTCAATAGACAACACTATTATCAATTAATTAAAACACAACTCCCAAAGTAATAATATAATGGTGATCGTGATTCTTGATATCTTTCTTCCAAAACATTTTTATTTCCTTCCTCAATATGGTGAAAATATTCATCAACACTGCTAGAGGCTGGAGAGAAGTCTTGGAAACGAACAGAAAAGGCAAAGGGGTAAAGAGTGCAGAACTGCTAAGACATTATGGAGGGGGGGTCAAGCAATGCAGATAGCTCCATTTTTCCCAATCCCGGATTGGGAAGTGGAGTTTAGTTCACTGTTGTTAAGTAATAGCTCCATTTTTCCCAATCCAGGTTCACCGGACAACAGATGGTGGAGAGGAAACAAGGACGGGAACTTCTTGGCAAAATCCTATTCCCTCCATTTGTTGGCCATGATTCAAACGAAGTTCCATGGAAATGGATCTAGAGGGCAAGTGTCCCATTCAAAGTAGTATTTTTCATTTGAGCAACTAGTCTAAATAAAATCCAAACCATTGACAATCTCATGGCTAGAGCGATGTTGGTGTTGAATCAATGCACCTCATGCGAGAGTTTGCCAACCATTTATTACTTCATTTCCCATCTGCAACTATTCTCTACTTGGCTAGAGCGATGTAATTTTTTTTTTTTTTTTGGATCAGTATTGGCCTGTAATTTATTCAGCAATAGATTATATCTATGGCATTCTCCCCCCCCCCCCCCAGTAATCTATTGGATCTTGTGGAGTGAGAGGAATAGTTGGATTTCTAAAGGCATGTCCTCCCACTGGAATTGGTGATAGGCAGAGCTAAGAGGTATTTCATCAAATGTGCTAGCCTCAAGAAGGATTTCACTGGCCTCTCTTTTCAATTATTTTGTGACCAATGGGGGGGTCAAAGTATTGGGACAAATAGTCCTTCTGATCGTATCTTTTGATTGTAAATTCCTTCCATGACTCTGGTGTCCATAGATAATATTGTTGGACCCTTTTCATCTCGAAGGGGTTAGCTTTGTATTTAACAGGAATTTCCCTTTTATCATTAATACAATCATTTTATTTTACCTTTCAAGAGAACACAAAAGAGAAAGAAACGTTTGAAGAGTCACCTCCATGTAATTAACAAGATTCAAGAAAAAGGAATTTGTAATATCTTTAAAAGAGATAATAACCCAATGCCCTGCATATTCTAATTCTTGGTTCTTGGAAGATTTTAAATACTTCAAGAATCAAACTAAACATTCTGTATGAAACAATCAATTATTACACGCACCAAGCACCAAATGAGCTATAAAATCTAAGCAAATAAAGTGATAAACCTGAGACACAAGCTACCACTAATAAAAATGTGAAATTTAGTTATACACCTAGAGATAAATTCAATGCTTTAAAAGCGCACAAGGGGCTTTTCACACCCAAGGCACAAGACGAGACACGAAAAAAAATTCAAAAAATATGCAAGAAATGCAAAAAAAAAATATTAAAATAGTATTAATTCAAAAAATACAAACTTAAATTGTAAAAGAAATTAAATGTTTTAAAAAGCCTATTGGAGCAAATTAAAATACATAAACTAACATACTAAACATATTCAATGCATGGTCCCGAATCCTTATCTTTTAGGATTAGAAATCAAATGTTGTTTGATGAAGAATGTCTTTATTAAGAAGGACAAGTGAACAACACTTGCTCACTCACCAATGCTCTAAGTGCCCCCCCTGCTAGTCTTACACTGTTACCTCATCCTTCTTAATACAAGGCATTCTTCATCAGACAACATTTTATTCCTGACCCTAAAATATAATGAATTATAACTAAAATTACAAAACCAATTTCCTTATATAAGAACCATGAATTTAGGACCCCAGCATTGACTTGTTTGAGCTTGCCTCAAGGGTCTTGGTCAGGGGGCCAAGGGCAAAGTCCCCACTCCCCAGGCCAACCACTTTGCTTCAAAAGCTACACAAATGAGCTGAGGTGCAAGCACACTAGGCACGCACCCTTTCAAAGGGGCTGCACTTGGGCCTGAGAAGGGGAACACCTTCTCACCTCTAAAAATCCTTATTTTTTATAATGAGAAAACAATAGATGAAAAATGGGATACTCTTTTCCCATGTGCAGCAATCAACTGGGCTGAAACTCGCCACATGAAAAAGGCTGAACCCTGGAGAAAAATTCAGACTCCATTCCAGCTGTCACTGAGTTATATGTGGAAAAATAAATAAATAGTAAATAAAATAATATCATAAATGGAATCAACCTTTTTATCTACACAGCACCCTAGAACTATCCCTGTGGGCAGATGTGAGATGATACAGACAAGGTAAAACTCATGTTTAAGTTAACCAATGTTCAATAAAAGCTATAAGCTCAGATGAAGCAATTACATTGAAGGCAGCTATCCAATTCTGGCCCCTAACATCCAGCACATTTTGCACTAACTAGCCGTTCTTAGACACTTCATTGTTCTCAGGCTTGTCAACCTGAGATTTTACCAAGGCATTAAGCAATGGCTCCTAGATGAAACTATTATTACCAAGAAAAGTGGAACTATTACATACGTAATAGCTCACACTTTCGTGAAATGTTATATAAGTTCACATAGAGAGGTTCGCCCAGGCTACAGAACCTGAGGTTAACTACTCAGCCTAAAGAATAGTGCTACGAAGATAGAAATCTGAAGTTAGCTACTCAGCCTAAAGAATAGTGCTACGAAGATAGAAATCTGAAGTCTGGAATCGATAACCTAGTCTTAACGGCAACCAGAAACGCACAGCTGAATTCAATCATCCTGAATGATTAAAATCTTTCTAGGAAAGCAGGACCAAGGTTCCTCACACAGAGGAATAACAAATCGGTATAAACACATCCGAAAGTATAAAAAGAACAAATTGCACAAGCCGCAACGATCAATAGAACTTCGTTTAATTTATTCTACTGAACAGAACAATCAAGCGCACTGACTGAACCCACCTACAAAACGAATGGAGAGAGAGAAAGAGAGAGAGAGAACTAAAATCACTATACAGAAATAACCCAAAAAGGACAAAATTATCAGAGAGCTCTACAGAAGCGAAAACCCTAACCCCAACCATACAAGCTATCCTCATGTAACGGAAGAAAAAAAAAATCAATTATTCAAGTAAAAACACTTGTTTCGCTAACCTGCCTTCATATTCAGTCCTCCTTTCTATAATTTCCTGGAATCAAGCTAGCACGCAGTCACGAATGCTCAGAACTTTAACAGATAACTAAACAAAACAAAGTAAATAGAGAGCAGAACTCACCGAAGCACTAAATGAAACCCTAATAAACCAGAGTTTTAACAAAAAGATTCAAAATTTAAGGCACAAGAAAACAGAAAGAAGGAAAACAGAGACAATTTAATGGGAAAATGCTGTACAGAAAAAACGCACCACTAAATGAACAATGGCGCCTCGAGGAACAATGAACAGAGAACAAGTACCAATAGCAGAAGAAGAGAAACGAACAGGTTGAGATTCCACAAGCCTTGAATAACAACCCCCAATTGCTCAGATTTCAGAGAGACAGGAGAAATTCAACGTCGCCTGTTTGTGTTCACATTACATGTAATGTAAGCTCAAATCTACTCCAAAACGAGAAAAGAGAGAGTAGGGCAAAGTTTTGCTTATATACGATTTGGCTTTACTTGTTATCACTTGCGAAATTACCGGATTACCCTGCCTGTCTAGAGGATCAAATCATCGAATTAATTGATTGACGTGTCACGCTGTTTTAGCCCTTTCTGTAACCCCAGTTGTCGACGTGGCAATAAACCTTGAATGGATTGACGTGTCATGCCAATGAAACTCCCCAACTGCCCAAGTTTTTCCCTTATCAAATGAGTCCTCCATTAATTCCTACAGCACATCCCTGTCATGTATTGAGAACATCTCCCGATGATAATACCATAAGTAATGATGTTACCATCAAGATATGTTTTGGGACGTTACGGGGGAGCATTCTTGTAGGGTATGATTTGAACTCTGTTTTCCCGAATTTGTTACTCGCACCAACCTCACCTCACACTGGAGTTCAAATCAGTCTCCACAATGTCTCATAGCACATCCCCGTCATGTATTAAGGACATCTCCTGATGTACCAAAAATGGTGATGTCATCATTGGAAGATGTTTCCAATACATGTGTTGTGAGAAGTTGTGGGGGGCTGATTTGATCTCCTCACACCCGTAACATTTCTCGTATTTATATGTTTATATATGTTGTCAACTATAATAAAATCAGTTCTAATTAAATAATTCTGGCTTAAATTCGATTTGACTTGATTTTTATCAAGTTAAAATCTTTCTATAAAAAAAAAAAAGATTTGTATCAAGTTAGAATATTCAAGCTCAACCAATAAAAAGTTAGGGTTTTCGAGTGAACTCAAATTAATTAAATTGAGCTCGAAACAAGAAATAAAATTTAAAATGAACTCAAACTCAAATCTAATAATATTTTAATCAAACCAAACCAAAACATGCAAAAGATTGACTTTGGCTCTGTTCGATTGCACCCTTATTCATGGATCCGGATTTATTCCTCACCGAATGTGTCCCACACCAACTTCATAGTACTTATAGTCGCACATCAGGAATATCTTCTATACTTGTATAATGTCATTCATACAAGAATATTCTCAATGCATGACTGCAAAGTATTATGAAATCGGTGTGAAGAATAAACCCAAATACCTTTTCCTTGGTCATTCCAATTCTAGGAAAGTGCCACGTGTTATATTACAATAACCACCCACCAAATCAATGATAAAATGGAGGGAGCCACAGATCTTTTCAATGGCCAAAGAAATCACAAAATGTTAATGCAGCACCTTGTCATATGTGTTCTAACTAAAAAAAGACCATCATCATCCAAGCCTTATCCCAATTACATGGGCTCTCTTATACTTAATGTCATATCTACTGTTAGATTATTAGCGTTCGAATCATTTATTATTTATTACTAATTCTGCCCAAGAAAGGATTATCATCACTGTCATCATCCAAACCTTATCCAACCCATATAGGGATCCTGTTTTGACATTCCTTTTTGTTTATTGTCGTATCCATTGTAAAATTATTCACGCTTAAATCATTTATTACCAATCCGAACAATGTCCTTAAACTTGCAAAATCACTTCTTCTTATGGGTGTTATAAAAGGTCTTCCGTGCACAGCGCACATTACTGAATCATCTGTCTACTTTCTTTAGTTTTGTCACCTTTTGGAGTTACTTAGGTTTGCTCACATGACTTTATTTTTTAGTTTATCCATTTGTATTTTTTTTTTCATTCATCCAATCGCATATATTTTTTTGGATATGTTGTTTCATAATTGTTGAACACTCCAATCTATATGGCATAACTAGTTCTACAATTCTTTCATAGAATTTTTATTTTAACACAAGAATTACTCACCAATCATATAAGGTTTCAAACACACCCATCCATTGTGCTTGTCTTGCTCTAATTCTACGAGCAATATCCTCCTCGATCTCTCCCTTGTTATGAAGTATTGAACCAAAGTGCCAAAACAATGTCATATTGAGTTTTCTCTTGGTTTTTAATCCTGAGCAAGATTTAGTTGAATGCTTTAGTTGTTCATCAGGTTGTGGAACCAATGATAAGGTTCCACGCCCGTCTTAAATACATGGGGCCCGTATCTTTTATAGTGGGGCCCATGAATTTATTATTGGCATAGAACCTCATCATTGATTCCACAGCCCGTTGAACAGCGAAAGCGTCAGCTAATTCAAATTCTTTAATCCTAGACCCTAATTTACACTCCTATTATTAAATTTACATGTCATATATAATGTTTTAGTTTGATTGACCATAGACTTCTTCTTCAATATATCTAGTCAATTCATTTATGATCAGTGCAAATAAATAAGGAAAAGACCCATCATAACGGTAAAATCTTATGCCTATATACTCATTCTAAATAGGTGTATATACCTATTTGCAATCCCTTTCTTTTTCAAAATCCACCATATTGTCTCTCTAGAAATTCTACCATATGTTTTCTCTAGATTAATGAATGACATATAAAGATCTCTAGCTCCGATAGTCAATCTCATGGCATAAACCCAAATTGATCATTTAATATATTTGTTTCGTGTCATAACATTTATTCAATTATTCTCTTCTAAAGTGAATAATGTTGTTAATGATTTTAATCTCCAAATAGCTACTACAATTTTACATATCACCTTTGCACCAAATCACCCTTTCTCCCTTCATCTTACAGTGTTTCTTTCATTAAACTATTTAGTTTAGTTATTGCCTCACACATACCTTTCCACGCTTGTACTAGAATACCACCAAGTCCTAACATTTTTCCTTTTCTTCATCTTATTTAGTGTCTCTTTCATTTAAGTAGTCCTAATCTTATTAAAGTACAAGTTATTTTGGATTTCAAGTTTCAAAGAATTAATGTGTGGGTGTGTGTGATTCTAAGGAATGACACACATACAAACTATTTTAGGCATCAACATTTTAGCTAAGCCATCTCCAAGAAAGGTATTTTCCTCTTAATATGGCCACTTGTCCTAAACCACTTTATTTAGCATATTAGTGTCCCTAAAAACCAATACATATCAACTGATACATTTAGATATTTTTATCCTTGTTTTGTTTATTTAATAATTTTTTAAAATAGCTATCTTCATTTTTTAATGCATTTAAAATGCATGATTTAAATCTTTGTATTTTCTTTTTCTCATTTTTGTTAATTCATAAATTCCTTTTTAATGCCTAATTTATGATAGAGCTTACCATATGCATTAAATTTAACTCCACCTACTTTCTTTTTAACTCCATGTAAAAGGAGCCACATCTTGTGTTTTTTTAGATAGGGTAAATTTCTTAAACTACCCTTATGGTTTAGCTAATTGACTAAGTGTACTCTTACTGTTGGAAAAATGACTAACACTACCCTTACTGTTTCTGACAATTGACTAACTCTACCCTTGTTGTTAACGTCCGTTAATGCTCCGTCACAATCTATGCACATGTGGTCCCACGTGACCTATACATTTTTTTAAAACCCAATATTGCCCTCGTACCCTGAGCCCCCACTCTCTCTCTTCTAAGACTTCCCCCTTCACCACAGTCTCTCTCTCCCCTCCGCCCCTCTGTTTTTGTTTGAAGAGGGCTCATCGTCGCCGCTGGAGCGAGAAGGGGGTGTCGCTAGTTCGCTATTGTGTGCAGTTGTATCTTCACCTCCGCCTCTATCTCTCTTTGGTCTCTCTCTCTCTCTCCATTCTCAACCTCCCATCTCTCTCTCCCCTTTGCCCCTTTGTTTTTGTTCGAAGAGGGCTCATCGCCACCGTTGGAGCGAGAAGGGGGTGCCGTTGGTTCGCCGTTGTGTGTAGTTGTGTCTTCACCTCCGCCTCTGTCCCTCTCAAGACGCCATTAATGAAGAACTTAAGGTGGGCCAAGTACAGGAGCTCGATGCACATGTTGATGAAAGCTCCGATTGCAACCACACAAAGCTCTGTGTACTTGAGCCTCCCGTCGAATCCCGGTACAGGGTTCCAAACCCTAACCCTGAACCCTTTTGGGTTCTTTATGTACCTCGGCATCGAGCTCCATATGTGCTAGATCCCATCCAGAAGAAACAACGTCCCTAACAGAACGTAACCCTTGAATGATCCCATCTCTCCAACTCACCCACTTCAACCACTGATAAACTTTGATCTCTAAGCTTCTTTATTCTTCTTTCCTACTCGTGATGGAAGATCCACAACCCTATTTTCTATAGCCCAACTGCCGACGTCTATTTCTTGGAGTGTTAATCCAAATTTTCCTGTTACAACGACAAGGATTTCAAAATTTATGCTCTCTATTTAAAATCATAAGTGACCGAAATTTTCAAGAATCGAACTTCTACCTTAGATTTTAAATCGAACATAGGAACAAAAATTCGAAAATCCTTTTTCTCTATTTTCTAGTTTTTTTTTGTCATGAATACTTTGACCTCATTAATTTTTCTATTTGAACGCCGAAGAAATCACCGAAAAAACAATGTCTTTCCCCTTTCCTCTGTTTTATTTTGAAAATTTAAAGAAGAATAAAGGATATAATAGTTTTTTTTGCCTTTCTATTAACGGACATTAACAACAGGGGTAGAGTTAATCAATTGTTAGAAACATTAAGGATAGTGTTAGTCAATTTTCAAAGAGTAAGGGTACATTTAGTCAATTAGCTAAGCCATAAGGATAGTTTAAGAAATTTACCCTTTTAGCTTAAACTTAGCATGGTAATAACACCTACCTTGAAAAATTAGTGTGTTGTGTTAAATACAAAAAAAAAAAAAAAAAAACATATTTGGACTCATTTGGAAGGGCTTCAACATGGTTTGAGCTATATTGCCTGAGCTTCTTCAAAAAAAAAACTTATCATGGTCATGGCTTAAAATGAGTGTATCGAGGTCATATCGATACTTTTTTTTTTCAAAACTGGTTCAGGGGGCTGATTTAAGGCTCCTCCACCCCCTGAAACAGTCAGAACCCAAATACACCCCCTGTAGGGGCGTATCGGGGAACTCCTAAAATGATACGTATCGGCCCGATACGTGTCGATACTTTGAACCTTGATCATGGTAATGATGTCAAAGTTCGAAGTATCAACACATATTGGCCCGTATCGCCCGATACGTATTGTTCTGGGACCCCTCCGATACGCCCGCCCCTACAGTTGGTGTATCGGGGGTCTAACCGGTTCAGGGGGTGAAGGAGACCTAAACCAGCCCCCTTGAACCGGTTGCAAAAAAAATAAAAATGCAGTATCAATTTGCCTGATACGCGTATCGATATTTTGAACCTTGCCTTGGGTAATAATGGATAGCATGGCTATCGATATTTTGAACCTTGCCTTGGGTAATAATGGATAGCATGGCTATCCAATGGCTGAAAGAACATTTCCTCCTTTCCAAAATGAGCAAAACTAGAGTTATTTGAGAGGACAATCTCTAATGCACGATCTATAAATAAAGCATAAGAGTCACATTTGGCCAAGGAGCCATTTTACAGTTTGGACCTCCAATTTTGTTGAGACCACGTGCGCTCAAAATTACCTCAGGGGATAGTGAAATGAACACAGAACACACTACTGGCTCAAAAAAATAAAATAAAAACAGATACCTTTCATTGCGTCATAGAGATCTCAGATTACATCAAAATAAATAAGATTTGAAATACAGGGTGGTGGATCACCCAATCCAAGTACTATCTTCTATAGTCTCAAGGGCAATCTTAGCCAGCTGGTGGGCTACCTGATTACCACTTCTACTACGGACAATCGAACATGAAACACTGGGATTGAATCGAAAGGAGAAGCCTCCTGCAGTCTGTCACATACTGCATGTTGCCAAGGGAGAGTGGTGGAAGACTTTTTCCCTTGAACAGGCATTATCATGTTTTCATTAGCACACAAAATTTATCAACTCCAAACTGTATTAAAAGTCACTCACCCTTGAGCTGGAACATTAGTAGTAAGAAATTTAGAATCAAAGAAACCATCCACAAGATGCTGAGCTAAAACAGAGGAAAAAAACGGCCAATTTTGTTCAAAGGCTTGGGGCATTTATTTTTGTGAAGGCCCCTAGTAATTTGAATATTGTTTTAATTGCCTACTTCTAAGAATCGAGCCTGCACAACTCGTCCAACATCGCAAGTTTGCAATTGAACTGCGCAGTGGAGCCACTGAAGCCATTAAATACATTGATTGGATCTCTGCTAAGCTACAACATTTCTTTCGTATCAACAAAGAGAATTTCAATGACATGAGATGGACTCAGAACTAATCCTCCAATAATATAAGCATTTCAGGCTAGAAAAACCATTCAATACATATGTGCTTACCAATGGAGTCCAGATTTCACGATTATAACATATTGCCCCCATACGCTTCTCAATCAGCCAACCTATTACCCAACCTTCTCTCACCCAGGCGATGGCTGGCAGGCAAAGGCAAACCTCCACTGCCCTCCCCAACCTCACACTTGCAAAGGGGACACAGCGCATTGATCTTCAACCATTTATCCACACACTCCATGTGAAAGAAATGGGAGCAGGGCAACTCCCTTAGCTCCTCATTGTCTGCATATCTTGCCAAGCAAATGCAGCAAACCTGCTCAGGATTGAAAGAAACAGTTAATGGGTGATGTTTGTCATTCATGGAATGCAAGAGTTGACATAAATATCGACCCACTCTCACATCTTACCACAGAGAGGAAAGAAAACCGCAAGTCATTGATTACAAATTGATGTGTCGTTCTTATCTAGAAACCACTAAACCAAGGTATCTAAGCATTAAACAACTTTGTAAAGCTTACCGCATCTTCTCCTGAGATCACACGCTCCTTTTCTGTTCCTGCTGCCAAGACCCCACCTTCTCCTGCTCCTTCTGAGCTGATAGTTTCTCTCCCATCTCCATTTTCATTTTTCAACTTAAACTTGTAGGTTGGAAGGGCATTGATGGATTCAGGGGTAGCTCCTCTAGTTTGAGTGAGATCCTCCCTGAAGCCCAGGATGGAAATTATACAAGGCAAGCAGCAGCAGATTGTTGCACAGAGAATGAAAGGCATGGCATATCCAATGCAGCTGAAGGTAAGGAACACTATACATAACCTGCAAAAAGTCCAAAAATCAGGTAAGCTCTCAAACTGGGTGAAAGCAAACAGAAAATGTGATAGAGGTCAATAAATATCATCATGCCTGTACAAGTTGGGAGCATCAGAAGAAGAGGAGTGTCCACCAAATATCCAGACATTGCCAACAACAAACCACACCGCAAAGAAGCAGTCCAATGCCATTTTGAAGTGGTCAACTAGCACATTAAACCTGCTCAGGCAAAACCATAGCATTTATAAATTGCAGTTCTGTAAAGCTTTTAGAGGCCCCAAAACAACCAAAGTATGCAGAAGAAATAGATTGAATGAATATGTAGACTAAGAAAGTAATCAACAAGATTTAGAAAAAATGAGATAAAACCTGAAACTAAAAAAGTAATAAAGCCTGACGAATGTAGAAAAGTAATTAAATTAAGGATGGTTCCATAATTTCCAGTCTACTACTTATCAGTGGCATTTTAGTTATTGTTCAGCTCTTTTACATAAATGGATTAGAGGGGTTGAGTGCCCCAAGCAGTTTAGCTCAATCCTTTCCTTTTCAGTCTACTACTTATCAGGGGTTCTATAAATGGGTTAGAGGGATTGAGTGACCCAAACAGTTTAGCTTGATCCTCTACTCTTCATCTAGGCGTTTGTTCTTTCTTCATGACTGTTCTTAAGTCTCTCTCTCTCTCTCTCTTTCTCTCTAATCACATTTCATATCCAAGCAATGCTCGTCTACAGATCAGAGCTTAAGGGGAAGCCTGATTACATCTTCAACAGGCCCATGACGTTAGAGGGGCACTAGGCCAATGTCATGAACTAGGGAAAAGGACGTTGCGGGCTGCTGAAGGTTCTTCTTAGGGATTTTTTTATGAAGAAACAGAATTTATTTGAATCTGTTTTCTATTTTTCCAACATTTTCTGGAGGAAAAATCACAAAAATTACTAATTGAGGTTTCATGTTTGATGTGATCAGTAGGAGCTTCAGATTTGGGCCTTAGAGTTCCACTCTGGGGAAAATTTATGAACCCACAAGAACAAAACTCACCTGATTTGGACATGTATTGAGGCATTGGTGGTCAACTTTTGCTTGGAAATTTACTCCCCAGACCTGAAGTTGATACTCCTTTATGTGTTTTTGGAGGGACATGTGCAGCATACTTGGCAGCGTGATTCTTGATATCAACTGTCATCTGGGGCTTTGTTAAGTTTTTCTGCAACATGTGGTGCCTGAATAGTGCTCCTCATCCTTGTCTTCCATCATTGATTCCTCTCTGGACTAGCCACTGTTGTATAACTGAGAGGAGAAGTTTTCTTTTGGGGATGATGGAAGAGGAAGATGTTATCTAACATTGGACAGAAGGTGAAACAGACTGTAGGTTTTCAAGACTGCTATTCAGTCTTGATCACTAAGAGATTTCAGGTTCGATGAGAAGAGAAAGTGAAGAAGATGTAGAAGAAAGAGTGATGGAAGAGCAATAGAACACAGATTTTGAGGAGAAGAACAGAATGTCAATATTCTGCCGCCGCCACTTTAAGTTAATATATATAGGTTATGCTAGTTACATGAAA